ATGGAATGACAGAACAATTATACTAAATGTAAATTAAAATTAATTTAAATATAAATAAAATAAAATGTAGCTTTTGTCCTAGCATCATCCCTATTTTTTGGAATGCTGTCTCCCTCTACATTCTGGTTTCTGATTAGGTGGATTACTAAAACATTAAAACAAGTAAATATTTGGCTTTTATTTTATTTTATTTCTTCTATCCTGCTTTATTATTTTTACAAATAACTCAAGATGGCGAACATGCCTAGTACCCTTCTCCAATTTTCCCCACAACAACAACCCTGTGAGCTGGGTTGGACTGAGAAAGAGTACCCTAGAGTCACTGAGTTGGCTTTCATGGCTAAGAGGGGCATGAACTCATGGTCTTCTAGCTTGGTGTCTTATCCACTAGATCAAACTGACTCTTACAAAAGCTATAACAAAGCAATACCTAAATGCTAAAGAATGGTTGCTTGGTATTTTTTCAAATCAAATATTAAGCACATTGTGTAAACAAACTGGTCCTCCAGATGTTATGGAACCACAACATATAGCACATCTCACAGTAAATCATGCTTCCTAAAGGAATGTTGGGAATTGAAGGTCAACAATATCAGAATCTCACAGATTCATAGAAGAAAGCAGTAAAAACTGCTTCAGTAATCATGGATCATGAAGATATCAACACTGAGCTTGACTTTTATCAATATTCATTAAGTTACATTAAATTTCTACTTAGATCTCATGTTATTTATTAAAGCAATAAGTAGCAGATATAGATGCTATAGAACAAACCAAACTTATGGCTGAAGCCTGTGTAACATAGCTACTGCAGATAATTATTCTAAAACAAATTTAATAAGAATAGAAAAAATCATAGTTACCAAGATCAAGGCTTTAATAGCTATTTTTTTTTTTAAACAAAGACTTCCTTTGCTGCATCAGTGTAGAATAAAATGAGCCAAACTGAAACATATACACATGTAGCCAAATCATCAAATATTGTAATATCTGGAATGATCTTCTGTTACAATTTTGCAGCATCTTATCAGAAGGTAAGTACCTTTCCTTCCAAATTGCTCACTCGTAAAATAAATGCAGCCATAAAGCTCCACGTGAATTGTCATTTCAAAAGGTCAGGGAACTTGTAATCAGCTATTTAGGACTAGAGACAGGAAGTGTGCTCCATATAATCTTAGGAGACTAGACAAGTCTAAAATTTTAAACTACCAAGACAGGAGATTACCATCATCTGTTCTATATGCACTGTTCTGAATTCTTTTGAAGACAGAAGTGAAAGAAACACATATATCCCTTTTTAGAGAATGGTCTTTTATTCAAATGGTCTTTTATTCAAAGCCAGAGAAACTTCCATGTTGAAAGAGTTCAGCACATTTAGTCTTTTCTAATGCCATGTATTACAGATTACAGATTAACAGAGTTGGAAGGAACCTTGTAGATCATTTAGTCCAACCCCCTGCCCAAGCAGGAGATCCTACAGCATTTCTAACAAATGGCAGTCCAGTCTTTTCTTGAAAACTGCCAGTGATGAAGCTCCCAGAGCTTCTGAAGGCAAGCTGTTCCATTGGTTGATTGTTCTCACTGTCAGAAACTTTCTCCTTATTTCTAGGTTCAATCTCTCCTTGATCAGTTTCTATCCATTATTCCTTGTCTGGCCTTCAGGTGCCTTGGAAAATAGCTTGACCCCTTCCTCTCTGTGGCAGTCCCTCAAATATTGTAACACTGCTATTATGTCTCCCCGGTCCTTCTCTTCACTAGACTAGCCATGCCCAGTTCCTGTAATCGTTCTTCATATGTTTTAGTCTCCAGCCCCATAATCATCCTGGTTGCTCTTCTCTGCACTTTTCTAAAGTCTTTTTTATAGTGTGGTGACCAAAACTGGATGCAGTATTCTAGGTGTGGTCTTACTAAGGCTTTATAGAGTGGTATTACTACCAAACTTGATCTTGATTTAATCCCTCTGTTAATGCAATTTAGAATTGCATTGACATTTTTGGCTGCTGCCGCACACTTCTGGCTCATATTTAACTGGTTGGCCACTAAGATCCCTCTCACAATTACTGCTATTAAGCCTGGTTTCACCCAGTCGGTATGTGTACTTTTGGTTTTTCTTGCCTAAGTGTAAGACTTTACTTTTCTCTACATTGAATTCCATTTTGTTAGATAGGGCCCAGTGTTCAAGTCTGTCAAGATCCATCTGAATCTTGAGCCTATTTCCTAGGGTATTAGATACTCCTGCCATTTTAGTATTATCTGCAAATTTGGTAAGTTCCCCTTCTATTCTCTCATCTAAATCATTTATGAAGATATTGAAGAGTACCGGGCCTAAGACAGAACCTTGTGGTACCCTACTGCTTACTTCCCTCCATGTAGATGTAGACCAGTGATTCCCAATGTGGGGCCCATGTGCCACAGGGGGGAAATTTAATTTTTAATGGGGGCAATTCGAAACTGAGCTATTAACTGGATTTTTGAAAGCCCGCCAATTGTTCTTATA